AGAGAGAGAGAGAGAGAGAGGATCTTATGAGGGGGGAGTTTGTGAGGGGTTTCAGAAAGATTTCTCAAAGCAAAGATCTAATTCATCTTCTCCAATCATCATCCCTTATCCTTGGAGGTTTGAGAGAGAGGTCCACTTCAGCAATCAATCAAGGTTCTCTACCTGCTTCAAGAGGAAGCAAAAGGAGTCGAGTTCACTACCTCACCGGTGTCGGTGGAAAGGAAGTTTTGTACATACTTCTCCACCTTGTTGTGGGAGTTAAAGGAGAGTCACTAAGTTTAGTGCAATACTCAGAGGGCGCCTCCGGGGAGTCGACTAGGTCAAGTTGACCAAACTGCTATAAATTTATGTGTTCTTTATTACTGGTTTTTTCGCATTACATCTCTATAATTTAAATTTCTTTGGGGTGAATTTTGGTTTGGTTTCAATTTGTGTTTTTTTTAATTAAAAGATTTTTTAAATACCAATTCGCCCCCCCCCTCTCTCTCTCTCTCTCTCTCTCCCCCCCCCCACACACACACACACACACACTCTTGGTTAGCTTTGGGCTAGTTCGTAAGGGCTTAACATCCCTAACATACTTTCAGTGTTAACTCAAATAATAATTATTTTTTGTATCATAAAAAAGGGGAGATTGTTGCAACTTAAATTTTAAGATTAAGTTATATATCATGTAAGTTTTGGATGATACCAAAATATGATTGTTATGATTACTATTTCTCCTAACATACATTGGATATATTTTCTTTGTGTTACTTGTGTGTACTAACATTTCAGGAAAATCATACTCCACACTGCTAAAGACTTCAAAGTAGTTTTGATTAGCGCTTCCTGAAATGGTGTATGTATTTTTTTCTATTTTTCTTGAGTCTAAGAGAGTGTGATTGTAATTGGGTAACCATGCACACACACACTAAGGGAGTAAGTCAAAACTTTTATTTTTAAAACTAATCATATTATATGATTTTCAAATCATAATGGACAGTTTGTCTTGGTAGTTCCTCCATATCGAAGTTTATCAAATCATTCAAGGAATGTTTTTTTTGAATGATTCATATTATATGATGTTGGGTTAGTAATGACGGCCCCAGAGTATGAAATGGGGTTGTTAAAGTTTATACCAAATGAACTCACTATTTTTTGAATTATTCATATTGTTACAATGTTGGATTCATATAGACAACCCACAGAGTACGAAATGGGGTCATCCATGTTCATTCCAAGTGAACTCACCATTTTTTCAACTATTTATAATGTATGAAGTCGGGCTTGTACAGACGATATATAGAGTATAAAATAGGATCATCCATGTTAGTACCAAATGAAGCTTGATTTGGTTAATCTATTTGTACTATACGAAATGAGGTTTATACAAATGATTCATAATGTACAAAATGGGTTCATATATGATCATACCATATAAATTAGTTTAGTTTTGAACTATTCATATAGTATGATGTCAGTTAGTACAGATGACTGACAAAGTCTTAAATCCAGTTTGTACAGGATCATACATGGAATTTAAATTGCTTCTATAAAAAAAGTATGATTATATATATGATATGAGTACATTTTACTTAAAATTTTTATTTTTCTTGATGGTTTTTCTTATCTTTCATATTTAAGTGTCCTAAAACTGACACTCAAGTATCTTATTGTGAATTTTCTTTTGAAAGTGGATTAGGAGAGTGTTTGTGAGAGAGTTTTAGGAGTGAAGGTTGAGAGAAATTTTTGAGTTGAAATTGTGAGGGGATTCAGAAGGTTGTCTAATGGTAAAGATATCTTATTTATTCTTCAAGATTCTCCCTACTTTCTTGAAGGAACTTGAGAGAAGAATTTCAAAGAAGATCAATCTATTATGACGTCACCAGAAGGCTGAGAAAAGATGCTGGTATTCTGCCATCATCAGGAGTGTGAGGAAAGGTGTTGGTACTCTACCATCACCAGGGAGGTGAGAAAGGACATTGATACTTTGCAATCACCAGGAGTTGAGAAAGGATGTTGGTACTCTGTCGCATCAGGTTGGTGGAAAAGTGGTTTTGTAAGGGCTTCTTCGCCTTACTTTGGGAGATAAAGGAGTGCCCCTTTTGATTTAGTGTAATATTTGAAGAAACATTCAACAGGGAGTGGACGTGGGTCTTGTTGGATCAAACCACTATAAAATTTGGTGTTTTGTGTTCTGTTACTTTTATTGCATTTTTATTTTCTGCACTTTGAATTATTATGGTTAAAAAATTTATTATTGTGTTAAAAAAAATTATAAATCAATTTTCTAAAAATGCAAAAAAAAAAAATTAAAATTATCAATTCACCCCCTCTTCGTTAGCCTTAGGACAGCTGTATTAAGTCTAACAACCTACTCGATCTTTCACTTAAGTCTTAGGATTAGAAACTTGGGGTTGTTATTAGTGGTACCCGACCATTTTACTTTGTTATAATTGTGGATTATAATATTAAGAGGCACTTCCCAAATGGACTTTTAATTTAAATATTAATTTAATTGGTTTGATTAATGATTGATATGTTGATCGTGATATAAGAATGCATAGCATTTTATTGCACCTTTCCTTTTTTAGGCACCTCCCTAGCTGCTAGTTTTGTCAAACAACCTAGCATATGAGGGTGTAGATCTATCAAGAGAACTTTGTCCAATCTCTAGGGTAAAATCTATTTTTAAGCCTATTCTAAAATTACTTCATTCAAATTTCAAGTATTTATTTAGTTAATTTGCATGCATTTTATTAGAAAACAATTTAAATTAGTATAAAACTTTAATTTATTTTACTATAAGCTTCATACTACTCAATATAAGTCAAGGTGTCAAATTAGGATCAACTTTAGATGTCGGCCCCAACTCCTTAAAACTAAATTAATTAAACATACTAACTCACTCTTTTATAAGTGACCAGACTTATGGTTTTATAGTGCTTAGGTGGGTATCTAGCTCACCAATCTTGGTTGGGGTAAGTCCATATCCTGTATTGCATTAACTAGGTTTGGGTTACTAGTTTTTAGTACCTAATTTAAACTTTGGTTATGAGGCAGGCTCAAGCTATAACGCATTAACCTTTAAGGAATCTAATCCCAACCTTCTAATAAAATTGATACCTCATACTTAAATCTATTTCAATCCAAATTTAAGCTTAACACATAGGATAGATTGATGTGTTTTTGAATTATTTCAAAATCTTAAACACCTCATACATTTCTTCCTTTGACCTCTAGAAATAATTGTTTCACCTTTATCGAGTCCCATTGGAATTTCAATCCACTCCTTTGATATGAATCTTTGAATTCTAAATGAAATTTTTATCTCTATTTTAATAGATAGTATTCATAGTCAACTCTTATTTTCCTGTGATGTAATTAATTACGTGGGTTTACACTCATAGGAGATTTAGAAGTCCAGATTAAATTTTCAAAAATCAATATTATCAAAACTTCAATTAATTTTCTTTGTGAAAATCAAATTCGACGATCATTATCATTATATTCAAATAAATGATAATAAGTGATATCTTCTTTCTCTGGAAAGATATATCATTCTATTATCATAACTTTGATTATGAATTTAATGATCTCTTTATCCATATTAACATAGTGAAATACTAAATAAAATTTTATTTTGACCCTCAAGGGTCATATATGATTCTTTCCTGAGATTGATAATGATAATTACGATGAATTCAAAATTTTGTAATCTAAACCCATTAGGGAACAATATATTTGCCTCCTAATGTGATATATTATTCATAATGATGCATTCAATTTAAGAACTAAGGTTCCAAAAAATTCAATTCCCCCAAAAAAAATTAATCGTTTTCAAAACTCCAACAAACAACTCTTTTTCAATCAAATAAAAAAAGGTGACTACTGAGGATAAATCTCTCTCTCTCCATCTTTAATAGAGATATAAATTTTATTACATTGATATTTTTGACTACCCTTCCTTCTATTTGTCCTTCTACCCATTTCTCCCTTGGGTGAGTGTGGCCAAAATAAATTAAGATAAGACAAAAGAGAGGTGAATGAGGAACCTTTATCAAAGTCGGGCTTTGACATTTTGCCTCCAAGTTTATTGGTAGAGAAAAAGAGTCAAGGTAAACTTTCAAAGCCCTCTTGTAGGTTGTTAATTTGAGATAGACTTTTATTTATAAGAGAAAATTACACCTCTAAAAGATGTTAGAGGGAGGGAAACAATCAATGGTTTTTCACTCTTTAACTTATTTAGGGATGACATATAATGACTATAAATTTTAAAAAATAAAAATAAGGTATAAAATATCAATTTAGCTATGACCAAATAGAAAAACTAACAAAAAAAAAAGAAAAACATCAGAGATGAACCAACTACAAAATAACAGCAAAAACAAAACTAACTCAAAACTAAAAAGAAAGAATATAAAATAACAAACAATAGAGTATTACATGCTCTCATGAGGTCTTTCGTGAGAGAACACCTACAAAATCATAAAATGTTAGATTTAGGAACCCAAACAGGTTTGAGTCCCTTCTTATGAAAAGAAGAATGTAATACATATGTGCTATGTTGTGAATCATGCAATTTGGGTCTCTACACCCAATGTGTACTATGGTGAACAGTGCAAGTATGTGAAATATTTCCTAGCATGCCACATTAAAAATATCTAACTCCAGGAAAATAATTTACTAATATTTTCCAGTTATAATACCTCTTCCTATGTTTTGGCTTTAGATCAAGTGTGGCTTGTTGACCTCATTTTTGTATGAGGTTACTAGGACCCACCTGGGTTTTATTTTGGTGACCTAATAATCACTTGTCGATTATATAGGTCCCAAACATATCCCC